ATGATGATGATGATGGGGATACACCACGAAATGATGAGGAGGAGGATATACCACGAAATGATCATGATGACGGGGATAGGGATACACCACGAAATGATGATGACAGGGATACACCATGAAATGATGATCATGATGACGGGGATACACCACGAAATGATGATCATGATGATGACGGGGATACACCATGAAATGATGATGATGATGAGGGGATACACCACGAAATGATCATGATGATGGGGATATACCACGAAATGATCATGATGATGGGGATACACCACGAAATGATCATGATGATGGGGATACACCACGAAATGATGATGATGATGATGGGGATACACCACGAAATGATGAGGAGGAGGATATACCACGAAATGATCATGATGACGGGGATACACCATGAAATGATCATGATGCAGATACACCACTGCAAGGGTTCCTAATCACCAAAGCCTGTGAGGGAGGACTAAAGAGACAAGACCCCACAGAGTTAGGTAAGCTGTGTCAAAACCTAAGCTGCTTTCCACTCTGTGCTACACACCTTCTAAGGTTCCACTGCTCCATAAGAAATGTGCCTTTCAGATATGAGAGCCCTTGAGAAAATAATGATGAACTGGGTCAATACTAGACAACCAATAAAGCCCAACTAACTTTTCTATCATACGGACACATACTTCTTCAACAGTCCTTGAGATTTTGAGCCTCAAGCTTTTTGTCTGTAAAAGGAGGAATCAAGGGCTGATAGTGAGTTTAAGTGTTTTCAAAAACCAGTCTCAAGCAGTTGGCTTATTTTCCTGAAGTTTCACATGCTATTCAACAGAATTAAGTAGCATTTTGTTTTAAATGTCTGGCTCAGTTCTGAATTTCAAAATGAATGATATGACCATAACATTTTCCATAAGAGGTAAAGTGAACTCTAAGAAAGTTGAAATGCCGTAAGGTCAGAATGAGCGTGTTTTGTACTTGGGGAAAAAGCACCAACTGCTGGTAAGAATTCTGGCAAACTTCACTTACTGCATCATCCAGTAAGTTTCCTGTACTTTTCTTTCCAGAAGACTTTGATGAAGGAGAAGGTGACGGAGAGGGAGCAGAGAGTGTCTCTTCTTGTTCAATTTCTTTTTCCAGCTTTATCAGACCAGGAGGCTCCACACCATACCTTTCAAGATGAGATTGTTATACGTGAATGTATTATAACGATTTAACAGTAATACACTACATTGGATTGTGGGCAGCATCACAACAAACTGCATTAACTTTCTGACATTGAAATGGAGCTTCACAGGGTTCAAAATTGTTCTCAATGGGTTTAGAACAGAAGGGAAGTTGAGTGGGTAGGGAAGTGGGGTGGACCTTGGGGGAGGTGGGGGAGGGGTGAATGTGATCAAAATACATCATATGAAATTCCTAAGAAACTAATAAAAATTTTTAAAGGAAAAGAAATGAAATGTCTTAACATTTGAGCAAGAGAAAAACACAATTGCTGTATGTGTATACGTGTACATACAGAAAGAGCATGAAAACAGTCCATTCAACATGCTGCTCTATCAACAACATGAACGCCCAGAGGGAATTTAGTCTTTACTTTGTTTTACCAGAACTAGCAATGCTAGAGCTATAATTAAAGCCTCACTTTGATTATAATCTTCTTAATGATGGAAATAAAAATCAGAGGAGCAGACTGTGGGGGCCGAGGCTAGGGGAGGAGGTCTAAATATGGCTACACATTGTATGAAATGCCCAAAAGTTCAATAAAAATATATATTGGAAAAAATGTCACAGCAAAAGGCCATTCTGTGATCGCTCCCCTGACTGCTAAGAAGTCAGCTTTTTATAATAAAATCAAGACCCTTGTCTTCTTTTCTTGTTGAAGACCCAAGCCTGATGGGCTTCGGGGGCGTTCAACACAATGCCAAGTTTAAAACAGCAGAACCCCAAAATTGAAAAAAAATCCTTAATTGTTTCTACAGAGTGGGAACGCTCTGCTAACTGGGCACTTCTGCACACAGAACAGTGTCTCAGTTACACAGGACCATCGGCTAAGTCCTTAGGACTACACAGTAAGAACATGGTTACGGGGGAAAATGAAGTGGAAACGCGAATAACTTAGAACAGCAGCATCTAAAAAATTTATAAATTATAAGCGCTTAGAGGATGTGGAGGGAAGAGCAGGAGGCAGGGAGAAGGGAGAGAGGGGGATGAGAGAGAGAAGGGGGAGGTGGAGGTAGGGAGAGGGAGGCAGGAAGGGAGGGGGGAGAGAGAGAATGAGAGAGGGAGGCATGGAGGAAGGGAGGGAGAGAGGGGGAGAGAGGGAGGGAGGCAGGGAGGGAGGGAGGGAGAGAGAGAAAGAGAAAGGGAGGGAGGGAAAGATGGAGGGAGGGGAGAGAGAGAGAGAGAGAGGAGAGAGAGAGAGATCCTATTAGCTTACTTCCCCTAGTCAGGGTTTTCTTAAGCTAAACTTAAATTCTGCTCAGTTTTATAGATTCTTATCAGCTGTACTTTTCCGGGAATGCAAAAGATGATTCCAGAACTTGAGAGCTGTGAGGAATTTGGGGTGTCACATAAGTACATGCTTTCCTTTTAACAGAAAAAATGAGGTCCAGAGCCAAGTGAAAAAGGATAAAGGCTCAGACGTAGGCCTGCTAACAACAATTTTCCTGCACTTTTACATCAGGCGGTTATAATAAAGGAGCTATCGAGGCCCCTTAGAGATTAGTAAATAAGCCAGGTGTGGTGACACACACCCATCATCCCAGTACTTGCAAAGCTGAGACAGGAGGATAAATCTGTGGCCAGTCTGGACTATATATTGAAACTCTTCCTCAAAACAAAATGTAAGACATAACTGGACTATAAATAACAGATAAAGGTAACTGGTCTATGAGCAGAGGATAAAGATGTGGGCAGAGTTACTCTAAAGCCTCTGACTGAATACCATGTTGGAACAGCATCAGACGTAAAACTTGGAAGTTTGAATTTTGCAACAGTGACCAAGTTTACCATGGCTGATTCAGTTTACAGTTCTAGGGAGGAGGCTGTCCACAGGCAGTGCCCCGGGACCCAGCCTGCTTCATCCTCACTGGTGACCGGGGGCTCACTGGCCAACTTCTGATTTCAGTTATAGGCAGGGGCGTCTCCCAGCTTGGACCCTGTCACTCTCAGCGGGGACACTTGATCTTTCACCTGTCACTCTTTTGTTTTATTTTTCAAAGTACAGATAACAGAGAAGGGTTCCGTGTGTCAGGTGCCTCTTGAGAAGTGGAACATGTGCACTAACCTATGGACTAATTTTTGTTCCATAATCAGTAAATATTTGCTATACAGACCTGGCCCCACCTTATTCTATTTCTAGCCTTTCACACACGTACCTGTAAGAATGACTCCCAGAATCTGGACTAATGACTTAACCTGGCACCACAAAATGGCAGTTTATAACACAAACAAGCTCACTGAGCCACGTGGTCCTGTGACCTGGGCACCTGACCTTCATTCCTTGGGACCCCACATTGCCCTCCACCCAAGTTAACAAGTGACTGTGGTGTGCTTGAATTAGCCAGCCACAACCTTGAAAGCAGCATATTTATATTCATATCCACATTGGAAAGAGCGAGAATTGAGATGCATGCTTAACATTGTATGGATAAGAAATTTTAGGACTAGAGATCAAACGGCAAGATTCTTCGTTAGATAAGGGTGGATCCAAGGTTGTAGTTCCCCAATTCATGCTGAAGAAATTGTTTGAATAAAGGGATGAGGGAGGCCTGGCTCGGGAGCACAGTTCTGTGAGAGAGCTGAAGGGAAGAATTGTGGAGTTTGGATCTACTCTTTGCTTTTTTTTTTGTAATTTTTAATTGAATTTTTGTGTATTTCATACAAAATATCTTAATGATCTTTACACCCCCTTCCCCACTGGCACCCTCCCACTGCCCCCCACTGGAATTCATACATTCTGTCATTTGTATTAAGGACTCTTATGTCAAGTTAGTGCCCCCAGTATTTCCTCGGTGTAAGTTCATCTACTGAGGTCTACTCGGCCTATCTAGAGTCCCTCGCTTTAGGAAGATCAGCTCTTCCTCGCCCAGCAGTAATCAGTTGCCAATATTTCATCACCTAAGATTGGGGTCTGTTGTCCATTTATCTAGTTCCATGCTGGGTTTTTGTCTGAGTTTGCATGGGTCCTGTACATGCTGACACCATTGCTGTAGGTTCAAATGAGCAGGGTCCCAGGAGCTTCTAGGACTCTATTTCCATCTGGTCATGCACCTCCTCCCTGGCTTTTACAATCTTTCAGCGCCCTCTTCCGCAGTGGTCCCTGAGCCCTGGGTGGGTGAAGGTTAATACAGGAGTCCTGTCCAAGGATCAGCATTCTGTAGACTCTTTGTGACCTTTCATGTTCCTGGGTGTCTGTCGAACAAGGGAGCTTCATTGATGAGAACTGAGAGATTCGTTAGTGTCCGTGTTCTATGTCCCATGAGCCTTAGGTGTAGAGGGTGCATTGTAGATGTGCCAGTAAGGCCTGAGGAATTCACAGAGTGTCTGTGTGTGACCAGCTGTGCAATTCTGTAATAGTCTGTTGCAAAAGAAGCTTCTTTGATGAGTGGTGACTGGGGTACTTGTCTATAAATATGAGGATCCATATTTTTCACATAGTAAGAAATCATATTTGATTCCCTCCCAGAACCTGAAGGTAAGACCCTACTGCTGAAGACAGGACACATTTCGGACACAGGATTTGGAGCAATGGATCTGGAACTGACCTGGAAGCCTCCTCCCTGAAGGCAGCTCTCATGGCTTTGGAGAGCACTGTGCAAGCTGCTAAGGGAGATCAATCAATGGTCCAACCCAGCTTCAAGGCCTAAAAACCACGTCAGTGACCAGCACAGCATTCGACAGTAGTGCCGTGGTGGCACTTTCCTCTTGGGGCAATCAACAGCTACCTAGTTGGACTTAAAGCCCACTCAGTGGGAGGAAACTCGAGTGTGGTACTGTAAACCTAGCCAAGTACACATAGCTGGAGAGGTCATAGATCTTAGAGAAAACCCCAAGGCTGTCGCATCCCTACTCTTTGTTTTTAAAATTAACGCTAAGGGTCTGAAGAGATGGCTCAGCAGTTAAGAGCACTGACAGCTCTTGCAAAGGACCAGGGTTCAGTTCCCAGCACCCACATGGAGCTCACAATCTTCTGTAACTCCAGTTCCAAGGGATCTGACATCCTCTTCTGGCCTCTGCAGGCATTGCAAGACATGCGTGCACAGATATATGAAGGCAATATGCTCATTCACGTAAAATAAAAATAATAAAATATTTAAAACTAATGCTGAGTTAGGCTGACTATTTGGGTATAACTGATGCGTCTTAGTAATGGAACATGCACCACTTAATACGAGTTACTGGAAGCATGGTACACTCTGAACTGTCATGGTAGAGCACAGCACCACTGACTTAGAGCAACCACAGCTCTGCAGCAAGCAGGCCAGAGGCACCTAGGCAGGCGACCTCTGTGATTGCCCTAGACTTCTGTGGCTTCTTATTTCCATCAAGGCATAAAACTTGCCTATGTTTAATGTTCTATAGAGAATAATATAAACTTGGTTCTGAGTCTGGAGGAAATTGAGACTCTGGGATCACAGCCAATTCCAAGTCAGTCATACATAAGTGAAAGCATCATATTTGAAAATATGATGGGAAAATATGATTTCATTTTGCCATTGCTGGTGGATGAAAACTACCTTCTCAAGATTAAGGTGCAAAAGGCTCGCTTTAGAAAACAAAATACAACAATAATTAATATGCTGTTAGAGCAGCAACAGGCTCAACTGCACGTCCAGTGCAAACAGAGCAGACTGGCTTCGATTAAAACTGGTAAGAGAGTTGCACACGGAAAATCCTTTCCTGGAGATTCTTCTTTATCTGGGAGAGATGGAAATTAGCCCTGCCCTCAACACGGAAAGCCACGCGAAGCTCTGGGGCTCTGCTTGCACTGGCTTTTGACTACCTCAAGCTGCCTAAGGTAGAGTCCGGCCAGTCCTGAAATGCACACTTAGATGCAATTCATTGGCTTCCTGTCTGTCTGGAGATGTCAGCAGCCTGTAAATCCTGGCCCCCTGGGGTCAGGGACTTGCACCTGCAAGCCAACTTAGTCATCAAATTCTTATTTCTGTTTTCTAAGGGCTGCCTGTGCTTGGTTTCCATGATTAACTCTGTATCACTTTACTATACCATTTCAGTTTTTTGTCAAAATGTTTAAAAATTTATATTCCTTCCCATTCTCTCCAAGGACAGAATTTTAGGTCTTCAGAGGGGTTTGCTGCTCCAAGCCTTAGTGATGGTACAACTGAGAGTGTGAAGCTGGCCTCACTGGATGAGCCCAGAGATACAGAAAGAGCATAAATACTGGGAGACTGACCACTTACTTATATCTCATTAAAAGAGTGAAGAGTTAGGGAGTCTTAGGACTGATGGATTCATGATGGGGACTGAAGAAATGGGTTTCTCATTTTTTTGGCACTTAAAGCTAATTTTTGCAATTAAGCTAGCTGAAATAACTGCAGCACCAAACTTTGTCCTGACTAGAAAATGTATTCAAACTATTTAGTAGACTTTACTTTTCAAACAAAAGACATCTGGGTCCTGTTTTAATAGGGTCAGAGGACAAATTTTATAGACTAATGAAACTCCCCGGTTTTAAGGCATGTAACAGATAGTTTATAGATTCTTGCCAGATAATTCCTGCTCCATTTTTTCTATTTTAAGGCAACTTAATCTTAGACTTACATCTGGAAAATGCTCCATTCAAACGATAGAACTGGATGGCTGCCAGCCAGCTCATGTGCTGCAAATGAATCGACGTGCGATCTTATCACAAGAATGTTTTCCTTTAAAGCAACATTTCATTAGACCAGGACTGAGATAGAAGATCAGACAAAATTTTCATGAAATATTTCCTTTCGAATGGTCATAAAACTTCATTCTAGATCACAGAAGCCCTGAAAGCAAGTCATAAAATGGTGCAGCACTGCACTGATAATAAATCTTGGTGCCAACTCACAGTTTCAGAAGGTTTTCATTTTTATCATAAAGATAATCTTAATTCTCAGTTGAAAAGATGCTGAGTTTATAGTTACTTATTTTCTCACTTTGCAACCATGAATATAAAAAAGTTGATTTAGAAAACTTTCTATGCCATTGAATTGCTTTGGTTAATTAATGTCTTTTCATATTCAGAAATGGACACCTTTCTGAAATGTCAGCGGAGAAGTTTACCCTCTAACAATGATGGCTCTGTTCAGCTGAAAACAAAAGAAGGTTTACCGTGAGAACAAAATAAGTATTCTACCCTCCGTCTGAGAGCCAGGGCCGCAGGGAACCATGCAGGGGCTCCAATGAGTGTCCCCAGGCAGAAGAGCCAGGCAGGGCCTCCAACACTCCAGGAAGGTTCTGAAGTGATGTTGGTGCTTGTAAGAACTATTTATGAAATATATAATAAACCTTTAGAAAGAATGAAATATAAGAAAGCACAAAATTCACAAGATTGTCCTGGGAGTTAAGTCAAAACTCATCTGTTCTGTATGAAATTAATGTGGTTCTTGAGTGATCTGGGAAAACTAGCCCTAGCTTTGGCTGAGACTGCTCAAACTCATTTATTTGTGAAATCTCTGACAGCAGGGTTGTGGTAGGTGGGAGCAAAACCTCCAGCATCCGGACCTAGGTAGAAATCAAAGGCAAACCATAGACAAACAATTAGATTGGAGGAATGGCTTTCCTTTGAGCTCCTTCATCTACTAGAACTCAGCACAAAGAAACAGCAGTGAGAGAGGTTGTGTTAGGTCCCTAACAACGAAACAAAATACCAAATCTACTCAAAGAGAAACTTAAGAAGGTATTCGTACATGGCTAATAACCTATGCAACTGAATCCACTCAGCTGTTTAACTAGGTAACTAACTAGTTAACTAGGCATATAACAGCTCATTTTCACTTGTCTTGAAAGAAGTACACACAACCCCAATAGCTGAAGGAGACAGAAGGCAAAATCTCAAATTAAATATTACAATGCAAGAGTGATCGTAATCTCAGCTCCACTCAGACTGATTTTTGTGATGTAGCTTTGAAAGAAGCACTGCTTTTTCCTACTCACATTGCCAAAAAATGTGGGTGCGCAGAGAGCAACACAGACTAATCACCAACTGAAAGACTTGTGGTGGGCTGAGGTTGTAGTTCAATGTGTTTGCCTAGCACACAGAAGGCCTGGGTTTGAGCCTCAGCACCCCATGTACCTGGTGTGGCTTCTCATGCCTGCAAGTCTTAGCACTGGGATGGCAACACAGACTAATCACCAACTGAAAGACTTGTGGTGGGCTGAGGTTGTAGCTCAGCGTGTTTGCCTAGCACACAGAAGGCCTGGGTTTGAGCCTCAGCACCCCATGAACCTGGTGTGGCTTCTCATGCCTGCAAGTCTTAGCACTGGGATAGTGGAGGCCGGAGATCAAGGTCTTCTCCACGACACAGTAAGTTTGAAGACAGCCTGGCTACATGAGACCTTGTCTCAAAATAAGCAAATTCATCAACTGATTGTTAATTAACTCATTAAATATTTTCAGTGAGAGGGAGCTCTTCATATATTTCACTTTGACATTGACAAAGCTCTTGTGATTTTCCTCATTCTCCAAGGTCTTCATCAGTTCTATCCCTATGTCAAGACGTAATGGATGACAGATCTGAAGGTGTAGGGAGGTGATTCCTAAAGGGACTTTGACATTAGGAGTCAAGCTCCACTTTTGATGCCCTTGCCACAGCTGGACATGTTGCTTTCTAATTGGAGTACTCATATAACAAGAATATAGCTGCAAAATTAAAAACTCCTGAATGCAGGAAAATGAATCTCAACTAGAAGGAGGAAGAAAAGTAGAATTTCAGCAACTTCCTTTGTAGAGTCACACCTCTCAGAATTTGAGGGTTATCTGGCAAAAGTATTTATATTATTTTAGCATGAAATGGAATCTTGCATTTTCTAATAGTCTAGTGGTGTCATTAGAGTACATGGTGTTTTCCGTATAGAATTTCTAGAGCCTCCAAGTTCTATTGGCTACTTCCCAGGTAGCAGCTTAGTAATTGTGATTTTTCTTAGTGTCTGTTGCTCCTGTTTGATGGATGCGGAATCCATGCTCCTCCTTCCATTCAGGCTGTTCCTGAAGGTCAGGAAGTCCAAAGCTGGTGGGGACTGGCTTGGCAGAGTTTGGCTTGGCCGGGCCCTGGAGGAACCAGTACCTTTGTCCTGCTTACTCACTAAACTCAAGGATTCAGGGGCTGAAGAGGCTTGGAGCTCTGAAGCCAGGTGCTGCAAGCTTGAACTGTTCCTGGGATGTAGATCCTGAAGTGTTCAAGGACAAGGGGCTGCACGCAGAGAGGCCTCTGCACAATTATCTAGAAATGGTAGCATGGTTAGGGAAACCTCTAAACGTCTCAATATTTGTTTGTGCTCCATGGTGGGTATACGCAACAACATCTAATTTGAATTAAAGATATTGAAGCAATCTTTTTCAAAGTAATTACTATGGGAAATAAAGATTTCCTGTCAGTTCTCTAAAGTTCTAATGGGTACGATGATTTCAATAACTCGCCATTACTTCTGATACTGGAAGAAAGTCAGCAGCAGGCTTGTTCCCACACCAGTTTCCTGGTATGCACACCCCTCTGTTCTTTCTCCTGGTTTTGCCACATATGTTCTCTAAGGATATTCATGCCGTCTGTCACTGCATTCTCCTGGCTTATCTGATCTCATCCATAAGTGTTTACTCAGATCTGGATTTTCGAACTTCTGTATCTTCATTTCTCTTTCTTTGGGTCTCAGAACTATCAAAAACATTGTGCAGTAGTTTTCAGGATTGCTTGTTTAGCAGTGCTTGCTACAGTTACTTGGGTTATTTCCCCTGCCCCCCCCTTGCAGAACAAGTTCAAACCACATCTGTGTGTAAGAATAAAGCAAGCTGGAGAGATGGCTCCACAGAGAATATACTGCTTTTGCAGAGGACAGCTGCTCGGAACTCTAGTCCTAGGGAATCTGATGCCCTCTTCTGGCCTCTGTGGGTACTGCACACACATTCACTGACCCACACAGTCACAGACATACACACATTTTAAAAGAAAAATGAATTTTACAAAATAAATACAATGCTAATTCTTTACTAAAAGCATAGAAAATAACTTCAAAAGTATCCCCCACTCAGGAGTTGAAACTAAAAGCTATGAGGAATGATAACCAAGTAAGAGAATCTAGGGAAATGATTAAAAAAATTAGGGAAATCAAGAAAAAACTGGAAGCTACACTGTTAGAAAGCAAGAGATAAAGTAGCAGGGAATGAGAGACTGTAGGGACAGCTGGCTGTCCAGAAAGCATCAGTAGATGGGCTGGAGAGATGGCTCAGCGGTTACAGCACTGGCTGCTCTTGAAGAAGACCTGTGTTTGGTTCCCAGCACCCACATGACAACAGACAACTGTCTGTAACTCCTGTTCTAGAGAATCCAACACTCTTTTCTGACCTCTGAGGGCACTGCACACATGAGCTACAGACACAGACAGCAGGCACACAGACATGCAAATAAATAAAACAAATAAGATTTATTTTAAAATTTTTACTTTATATGTATGTGTATTGCCTGCATGTATGTAAGTGCACCTGTGTCATGCAGTGCCCATGGAGGACAGAAGACGGTGTCGGATCCCCTGGAACTGGAGTTACAGATGATTGTTAGCCTCCATGTGGTGCTGGGACTTGAATCTGTGTCTTCTGCAAGAGCACCCAGTGCTCTCAAATGCTGAGCCATCTCCCCAGTCCATAAGGTAAGATGTTTAAAAGGCATAGTGGATTCCCCCCATACTCCCTCAGGTCTGTAAAGGAAATGCATTTGATTAAAGATATCAGCGAAAGCTCAGGCCTTTAACGCAGCTGAGGCACTGAGAATTCTGGTAACCATGCTTTTAACTTTGACGGTGGCTCTCACAATGTTCCCCACAGGCATATCGTGAGTGGTTTCCTCATCCAGGCTGAATGCCTCTGCACATTTCTGCTGCTGGCGGCTGAGAAGCATCTGCATCTTGACATGTCAGCAGATGTCGGGCCTACCTGGCTGCGATCCGGCCAAGCTCTAGCAAACAGAGACACACTTCTCGGGGTTGCTTGTGCAGGACTGGAAGACAAGACAGATAGAAAAGACTGTCAAGCACCTATCAGTGGCAGGCTATCTGCCGCCCCTCCCCTGCCTCTCCAATCAGAGCTGGTTTCCATTCTGTCCATTGTAAATTCATCCCATGCTGCCCCACTAAAGACAAAGTATTTTCTAAAGCTCTGCCTGCCCTGTCTCCCAAACCCTGCCAAGGTAGTGAACTCCCACTCTGAAAACATTTTTCTCGATTACCTAACATTAGTAAGTCAATACTGGATATATGCAAAATGATAATTATAAATAACTGATGAATATTTAAAAATACACAGTACACCCAAAACTATGCAGTAAGGGTCAGACTTTTTAATATCCTGTGTGTACCTCTGATTTCAGCAGAAAATGAGTAAGGACAAAATTTGTAAACCATGATCCTTTGTTCACCTCCAAATAAAGGCAAAGGCCAAATGGGACCCGAGTTCGATATTCTCACCTAAACAAATCTAATTAAGTGATACTTGAGAGAGACACTTTCAACTGACCTGATTTTTATAATACGTACCAACTAACCATCAATTGGTTTTGTCTAGGGGATGAGTGAATTGACACATTTTGAGCTGATGTTTTTATACTGACATAATATAATTATCTAGTGAATCTGTTTACAGATAGCTTTGGGCAATTCATAAATGTTTATAGGACATTTTAGCATTTCTGAGCCTACTAGAGGAGCACGTGCTGTTTATTTTCTTAGCCAAGATTGTTTCTCAATGTCTGTGAGCTTGTGTGCATGTTATGTGTGTGCGTCATGTGAGTGTAGTGTGTGTGATGTGTGTGCATCATGTGCATGCAGTGTGCGTGCGATATGTGTGTGCGTCATGTGAGTGCAGTGTGTGTGTGATGTGTGTGTGCGTCATGTGAGTGCAGTGCCCACTGGGGTGAAAAGAGGGAGTTGGAGTCACAGGCAGTTGTAGGCCACAGACCTGGGTGCTGGGAACAAAGCAGCAAACATCCTAAACCATTGAGCCATCTCCCCAGCCCCAGATTGGGGTACTTTTTAAAATAGTATATTCTGCATCAAATAAAAAAAGAATGTAATGAAGTTTTTTGCATGGAGAACAGTCTTTACAATTAAAGGTATTATTGTGATAAAATAATACTTATTGATAAATAGAAAATAGCAATCTTGCTCTAATTCATAACCCTAGAATTTTGTAATAATTTTCCACTTTTACTCTATGTAAATATTTCAATTCCTTCTCTTCACAGATAATGGAATGGTAAGATAACAGGATGCTTTTGAAATGGGTATGAATAGAAAAATTAGTTTTATTTGCACTCTAAAAATATGAGATTTGAGGACTGGCGAGATGGCTCAGCCGTTAAGAGCACTGGCTGCTCTTGCAGAGGACCTGGGTTTGATTCCCAGCACCCACACGGCAGATAACAACCATCTGTAACTCTAGTTACAGGGGAATCCAATGCCCTCTTGCTGATGTCCATGGGCATTGCATAACATGGGTGCAATTAACACACATGCAAGCAATATACTCATATGCATAAAATAATAATAGATAAGATATTAAAAGCTAAATAACATGTGATTTCATTTTATTTCAAACAGATATTCAAATTGGGTATTAGTATTTAGTTATACAAATGTCACTTTTAAACTTTAAAAAATAAACCCATGCTCTAAGAATGTTTACTAAAACATAACTGACAATATTAAATAGGATCAATAAGTCTCATTCTCAATAATGCAGTTCCATTTCAGTTGACCATTGCAATATTGTTACAGACCCTCACTAAGGGAGCTTTGACTTATTTCCAATTAATTAAAAAAGCTTGACAGAAATGTATTTACACTCCTAGTTTTGAATGTGCCAGCTTACTGTGGTTTGGATGATGGACCTCAAAGGTTTACATCTGTCTCCATGCAAGGTGAAAGGGGGCCTGTGACATGACACATCAATTTCAAACAGAGACCAACAGCAAACTTCACAGGACAGAAGCAAACCAGGGGGTCGATCTTCCTTAGTCGTTTGACCCTTTGTAGTCTGACCTTCCTCCTCCTCCCTTTTTTTTTTAAATGGTACCAAAATGAAAAAAGGGAGTTGTGAGAGGGGAAAGCACCAATAAAACGGAGGAAAGGAAGACTTTGGGGCCCGACTGATCCCTGAGTCTCTGTGAGATTGTGAAGTAGACGTTGAAGCCTCATGAGCATTTCTCCATGGAAACTGGGTCAAAATATTAATGACCAGCCCATGTGTAGGCACTAACCAAGTATAAGCAGCGGCACCTGACAGCCATAATGATTCTCTAGCCCATAGTGCAGACATGCGGAGAACTTTATAAGCACCGGTGTGTAAGTGGGAGTGTTATATGGAAAATAAAATTTGTTCTGGGGAAGATAGGAATAAGAAGTTTGATACGAAGGACACATCACCACTGCACATCTCTTTATTTCTTCATTCTCCAATGTAAAACATTTTGCATGCTGAAACCCAAGTATTGACTCCACAGGGACCTGTGAGAAAATCAATTTGGCAAACAGGAGAATAAGGTCAGGGTTCCCGTCACTGTAACAGGAATGGCACGGAATCCCATAAAGTACATCTTTGAGATGGAGAGGGGACGGGGGTGACGAAGAACGAAAACACGATGACGTCTATGTGAGGGCACCATGTGAAGCCCAGAGTCTGGGGTACAGAGCTGAGACTTAATATAAAAAGGAGGAAACAAAGGACTCTCTTCTCTGGAATCATTTCTCAGGAATACGTCCACAGAAAAGGTTTTAATTTCAAGCTTTCATGGAATCATATCCCTTAAAAAGTAGTAATAAAATCTTTGGAAGTATTATTGGTCTTGTGAAAGTGGCTTTCCAAATACTGACTAGACTCTGTCTGACTTAAAATGGACAAAGACTGATGACCAGCAGCTGACCCTAAATGAAATGTCTGTCGACGTTCCTGACTCAGCACAACGCCCATGACAGAGCAGTTCCTCCAGCACGCTGTCAGAACACCAGGGATTGAGACCATCTTGTAGTGGAAACAGTTGTCATGATGAGCAGACTTAAAGTCTAAGTTTGCCTAGCAATTCTTAAAAGGACAAGAGTTTAAATTAGCGAAATACCTGATAGCAAACGAAAGCATGTTTTAGAGTGCTGCTGTAAAATTAAAACCTCTTTACTAGCACCCGCGTATATACGACTTAGGAGTCGGCCTGGATTCGTCACTGCAGCAAACTCTGTACCAAGGGGGAGGGGTGGACGGATCTTGATTGTGGATTCAACTGCAGAGGTTTGGGTGGGAGAGTGATGGCTCCTGGATATTATTTGTGCTATGCAGGGAAGCCAGTCTATAAAATCTCACCTTTCTAAAGAAAGCAACCCTGTCTATCTAATAGGTCTAGGATGAATGAACAGAGATGTACTGCTTCTGCTGAGCGTGGCACAGGAGCACTGGCCTCTTTAGTATTTTTCTTTCTGTTGTTTTTGATGATTTGTCTATGAAGATTGTCTTCACTTGGTTAAATCAATGCGAATTAATTCATTTTTGTTTTTCCTCTCACCATTATGTTGTGTCCCTACAGTGAACCATTCGTTATAGTCAGTGATTTAAAAAAACCCAGTGGAATAAAGAACATACTGTTGGGAGATATCAAGGTGGAGTGGCCTATGCCAATGAACAGGTGTCAAATATTTTATCATGTATACTACATAGGAGCTGGAAAAGTCTAAGCTTAATCAAATATTAGGCCAATAGATCAATTTGGCCACCCTATGTAGGCTAACACAAAGCAGATATACTTTAGCTGTTTGAAGTCTGTGCTGGTACAGTCAAAGAAATAGATTTGTACAGAGGTCATATTAGAGATCTTGTTATAGACTGTGTTAAACGCCTCACCATTAATTTTCCTGAGAATAAAACAATTCCATTGAGTCCATTTTCAATAATTAATCTAGATTGATTGAGTATTGTGCATTTTAGGGGACCAGTGAACTGAATGCCTGTCTCTGCAGGGAGGGCCAAACAGCAGCTCAGCACAGTGTTTGAGCTAAAGCTCCTATGTCAGTTACACGCATGGCTCATTTTGGACATAGTTCCTCAGTTGCCTTTTCTAAAGAAACTTCCACTGTAGTTTACATTAGGAAGCATTTCCCCCACCACATCATTGTGACGTTATGGGCTTTTCTTTGAGTTCAGGATAGAAGATTAATTTTCCTGTCTTTTCTCTAAATTGATTCTCTAAAACAGCTCTCTGAAGGACAGTGATCATTAAACAAAAACAGTGTATTATTGGAGGGTTTTAAAAATGCTCAAAACCATAAGCTGGAAAAATATATAATGCTGAGAACCTCTCAGAAAAGCAAAACAGTTTCCAAATTAAAAATTACGATGAAGTTGGGCATGGGGGTGAGTGCCTTTAATCCCAGTACTCAGGAGGCAGAGGCAGCAGGATCTGTGAGTTCAAGGCCCACTGGGTCTACATACAAAATTCCATGCCAGCCCAGACTACACAGTGAGACCCTGTCTCAAAAAAAAAAAACAAAAAAAACAACAACAAAAAAACCCCAAACCTGTGAGAGACTCCATCTCATAACGTACATCCTATAAAAACCTCCTGGGTATCAAATGTCAGGATGCCACTCACTCCAGGAATAGAAATGAGACCTCTGCTAAGGCTTGGGGTAGAGTTTCCGTGTCATAGAATCTTCGAGGATAAAATGCATTAGACCGTGAATGAGTTTAGCTAAATATCTTAAGTTTAACAGACGGGCAAAGAAAGAAAGTGTGAAAAATCTGATGTCCATTTGGTTTTGGCACAAGAAAACCTACAATATTTGTGGTAATGATGAAACTTATTAGCTTTTTATTCAGGAAGAAAAACTGGAAAAATATCATTATTGATTAAATAATTTTAAGTTGATAGATCACTAATTTATGGATTTTTGGCTGCCTACCTTCTCAAAGTAAAGAATAATTCCTAATAAATCAGAGAGAGGTTGGGGAGAGGGGAGA